TCAGCCTGGGTCTGTGTGGCTGGCGCCGTAACCACTGTGCTATGGGTGCTGAGCCTGATCTACGTTTTGAAAGTGAAACATTGTCTTGTATGCAGTTTTCCTTATGGTTGAAGTCTTCATATCATAATAATATTCATGACGTTCCATCACGTATGTGCTGTAATTGAATCATCTCCATAATATACAGCAATTAGTTTGTTGCCAGTTTCTCATGATTATAAAGAAGTTATAGTCATATTTTAACATATATCTTTTGTCTGTGTGAACAAATCCCCAGAAACATATTACTACTTGGCAAAAGGGTGCATTCGCCTGCTAGGGCTCTCCTGTAACAAACTCCCACAGACTGGGTGGCTTAAACCACAGAAAGCCATTTTCTCACGGTCTGGAGGCTGGAAGCCCATGATCAAAGTGTCAGGTCTGATTTCTCCGGATGCCTCTCTCCTTGGCTTGGAGATGGCCATCTTCTCTCTGTGTTCCCCTGGTGTCTTTTCCTCTTACAAATTATGGACATCAACCCTATTGGAGTAGAGCTCCACCCTGTTACCTCATGGGACCCTAATTACCTCCATAAAGGCCCATCTTCAAATGTAGTCACATTGGAGGGTAGGGTTTCAACGTATGGTTTGGGGGATGTGCAATTTAGTTCATGGCAGAGCATGTGACTCCATTACGTGTCTTGATATGAACTGCAAATTGTTCTCAGTCGTATTACTTTCTGTTAAGTTCAGTAAGTGAATAAATGATTAGAACATTTTTACACTTCTGCTACCACTCTTTCTGTGGGTTTTATTCAAAGACTCAAGCTTTCTGAACAGGAATTTGGTTTTATAAATATGAAACATGAACTATTAACTCCTAAACTGTGAACTGTAACTCCTAAACGTTTTTCCATATTCTTATCAAATGAATTGTTTTCAAAATAGCTTTGGATGGATGGAGGAAACAAGTGTTAAATTTAACCTTATTTCTCAGGCCTTGTTTGAGGGAGTACAAAATGACATCAACCCTTTGGAGGACAATTTGGCAGTGCTTATTAAAATTAGAGAATCATACAGTCTGAATTCTGGAAATTTGTCCTGAAGCTATTCCTGCATATGTATGAAATGACAAATGTGAAAGGCTTTAAGTCCATTTTAATATGATTTATAATAGCAAGATTTTGGAACAAATACTGCAAATATCCATTAGTGGTAGCTTGATCAATGTGGTACATCCACACAGTACGTTATGTATCTATAAAAATGAAGAAGCTCGCCATATACAGATACAGAAGGCTTTCAGACATGTACTAAGAGTGCTCAATGAGCTAAACATACCAAGAAAGAGGAAAATAATAAATATGGGTTTGCTCATGTGCGTTCATGTAAAGAAAGTCTGAAAAAAAAAAAGTCTGGACTGACCCATGATTGGGATTCAGGGATGAGGCTCTTGCCTTTTGTATCTTTTGATTTCTGAATAATGTGAGTATATTGCTGTTAATGGTAACATTAAATGTTATAGTCCCATTTTGCCTTTTCTTGGAAACCCAACGCATACTTTCTCTTCTCTTGCATTCGTGGGAATTTTGACTTTCTTTATAAGGTTGTTAGCAGGAATTGAAACATGTATATATAGTCCCTACATTTCATTGCTATCTCTAAGTGCATAGAAGAGAGTATAATTAAATAACAGATTGCTCAGACTGCAGTAAGACCACTCACTTTTATACCTTTGTTTATTATTAATAAAATGCTTGTATATAACTGCAAATAAGAGATCTTTTTTTTTCCTTTTTTTTGAGATAGAGTCTCAAGCGGTAGAGTGCCGAGGCGTCATAGCTTACAGCAACCTCCAGCTATTGGGCTCAAGGGATCCTCTCGCCTCATATTTTCCTTTTTTTTTTTTTTTTTT